AAGAGAAATTTGAACCGATTTATACTCTTTAAGGCATTTATCTCAATGAAAAATAGAATCTTTTCTGATTACTTTGCCTACTCAACTCGTCAATATCTGAACGATACAATATGTATTTGTCAGATAAATTTTGGCCACTTAGTTTTGGAAATAACATGGTGTGAATGCCAGTGAATGAAATGTTTTTATGCCAATTATGGCAATTATGCCAAACAGCTGCTCCAGGTGAACAATGGCATAACTCACTTACTAGCTCAGGTAGTTTTTTTTTTTTTTTTCAATGTATAAAGTACCTGTTTAAAGGCTAAATGGCTAAATCCAATGGTAGGTCAGTTAAATTATACACAGTAATATAGACCTGTTCATCTTTATAAACTGGTAGATATATACAGTAAATGCTGACACGCTGAACATGAAATTGGTATATACCTTTTTTTTTTTTTAAATAGGCTATTGAAAGGTCTTGAGAAACGGCTGAGATGTGACTTTTCACTTTCGTTACAGTGTTTGCCTTTTAAAAGATAAGACAGAAATCCCTCAAACCAGAAAAATGATTTCTGCCCTGTATGTGAAGAGAAAGTTACAGCAGCCGACAGATTCTGTTCTAGATAGAGTCACGACCCCCGACATTCACAGTGTAGATACAATGATCAAAGGTGCGTCTAATAAATAAATGGCAGAAAATGTGAATGCAAATTGTACAAATATGAAGCAAAATTGCATTTAAATCTGTTTTAGTGTAATTGTATTAGGTTGCAAATGAAGCAGATTATGCGTGATTCCCTTGCGCTGCTTTGTTCTGCCTATAAGAGTCCTGTTTAATATGCTATTTCTTTTCTCTGGAGAGCAATGAGGTGTGAGGTCTCAAAATCACTAAAAACACTAATTCAGTTTAGTATCCTCTCGACGGCACCACAACCCCTCACATTCTCTCTCTCCTCATACTGAACTCCTCTTATGAGACCTCTACACTTATCTTCATACCCTTCAACAGAAGCAGTTTGAAAGATACTGAGATGAAGGAGGAAAAAACATGCAGGCTAGTGAGAGACAGACAAAAAGAATACAGGTATAGCTCACCCAAAATGTTTTTTAATTAATTCTGTTGTCATTTACACACTGTTAAAAAAACTTTCTTCATGAAACGCAAAAGGAGAAGTTTAAACAAATATCTGAGCTGCGTATATCTATACAGTGGAAGTGGATGGTGCTCTGTAAAAGCATCATAAAAGTAATCCATATGACTCATGTACTATATTATATAAGTTTTCTGAATCCTTATATATGCTGTGATTTATATTTCTGTCATGACAACTCTCGGAGGGATTGGCATGGTAATGCCATGTATTTGGTCTTGGCGGAATAGATCTGCTACGCTGCTGCTGCTGCTGCAGCAGAGCAAGTACCGAGACTTGCTACTGCCAATACATCCACAACATGCTGCGGTGAACATGTAAGAAATGCTGCTGCTGCACATATTACACATATGAATAACCCCCATATAGCGTACATGAATCACCCCATAGCAGATCTATACAGGTGGAGCTGGGGAAGGTGGAGGGTTTCTGAAGTGCGCTGCAATACTGCTACAGCAAACAAAAGCCAGGTATTTGAATATTGAGCAGTAAGCTCATTGGCCACCGATACAGGAGAGAACCAATCAGCTGCCATGTGACGATGTTGCCAATACATCCACAACATGCTGCGGTGAATATGTAAGAAATACTGCTGCTGCACATATTACACATATGAATAACCCCCATATAGCGTACATGAATCACCCCATAGCAGATCTATACAGGTGGAGCTGGGGAAGGTGGAGGGTTTCTGAAGTGCGCTGCAATACTGCTACAGCAAACAAAAGCCAGGTATTTGAATACTGAGCAGTAAGCTCATTGGCCACTGATACAGGAGAGAACCAATCAGCTGCCATGTGACGATGTCGACCAGGACAGATTAAGCTAGACCTATCGGACTGCGACATCTAGAGTTTTAATGCCAAAACTCTGTATTTGTTATTCACTGAATATTTTGCTCCACATCCCAGGTCACCATTCACTTTGATTGGATGAAAAAAGCAGCTTGGATCTCAGAAGAAACAATGTCCTAAATGTGGGTTTGGATCGACGTGAATTCTCATTTTTGGGTGAACTATTCATTTAAAAGAATCAGAGTCTGAATAAAGACACTGCAGAGATGAGAACAAGGGGGGTAGAGAGACAGACGGAGAACGAGAGTGAGAAAGAAAAAGAAATCAAGATGACGAGAGGTGCCATTTCTAAATTATACAGCACGCTCTCGTGACGGCTGGAATCCCCCATAGTCCTTGTGTGGCACCTCCGCTGGACCCTGAAGGAGCCCATGCTGTGTCTCAACAAGCTACCAGCATCTTAAAAGCCTCTCTAAGCCCGCCTTTAAAAAAAGCAATCCAGCCTGATCACACTTTCAACAGTGCAACCGGCGGTTAGCGCTGTGTCTGAACACTATCACAGCGGGGAATCCACGTTTGTGAAAATTCAGACACACCAGGGCAGCCGCACTAACGCTACTCAAAGCAAATACAGAGTCAATGGAGGAAAGAAAGGTCGGATGTGAGGGTACCGTGGATTTGGTGAAGAGATTCAATGACAGCAAATTGCATTATGTGTTATTACTTCAAAAAAACAAAATTCCACAATTTGAACAGATGGATAAAAGGCTGTAAACAAACACTCAAACACATAAGTTCACTTAAATAAAGCACAACAATGCTTGTGTAAAGTTGTATGCGTGATATAATTCACCTGCTAAAGAACATGCCAGAACAGTTGTCCTTTATTTTCTCTCAATCATTACTATAACATTTATGCAACTTACTACCAGATTGAAAAAAACTTTGCTGCCCTCTGTTGGCCAACACAGGCATTTCTGAGTTTCCCAGAGGGACACTTTTTGTCTTTCAGAAATATTACAGAATCCAAAATCCAACGAATCCAAAAAAAATCCACTTTTAATAGAAAATGTAAGACCAAATGTTAATAAATTAAAATAATAACTGTAAAAGTGCACATCATAATATTCATTTCAAAATGGCCAAATATGGGTTGTTTATTAATCTGTCTCATAAGTATCAATTAAATCATTAATCATTTGCAACATTAAATTAGTTAAACATTAACTTCCATGCATGCAGAAAGCTGTGCATAAGCATCTGATATGATAATGCTCTGGGTGATGCACTTTACAGATCTATGGCTCAATTAAAGACAAAATGATTAGCACAAAAGTTATATTATTTACCAATGCCAGTAATTTCAAAATGGCCAAATATGGGTTGTTTATTAAACTGGCTCATAAGTGTCAATTAAATCATTAATTATATCCAAAGCTAAATTTGTTAAACATTAACTTCCATGCATGCAGAAAGCTGTTTATATGCATCTGATATGATAATGCTCTGGGTGTCACACTTTATAGATTTATGGATTAATTAAGGGCAAAATGATTAGCACAAACGTCCATAAAGCAGGATGTTCCGGTCCTTTAATGATCAGTTATCAAGCTCTAACTTTATCACACACTGGTGAGATTTGAACATCTACAGAAACAAACTCCTTCAATCAAATCTTTTTCAGGTAAGAGCAGGAACAATCAGCTCCAGCTGTGGAGGTAGAGGACAAACACTGCAGGAGGATCTAGTTGATCATTTAAAGTGTGACGTTACCTAACATTGTTATCAAACTGTGCTGTGTTTCAGAGCGTGACACAATGCTGCCCTCCAGTGGTGGAAACACACACAACAAACAAGCTCTGCGGTATTAAACTGCATGTATAAATAAACACAGCCCTGAAGCTCATTGCAACGAAAACATCTGGAGAAAAGCCTCATTTAATTAAAACCTTTTAATTAAATACATTTATGAATTACTGATTAATTTAAGTCTCACTTAATTATGTAAATTAATTAGTTACTCAATCTTATTTTCTTATTCCAAGCATATAACCTACTGCCTAAATTCAGATTAAATGCAACATTCATGTTAAAATTACTAATACATTTAAAACCTTGAGCCTCATGGGGTGACATAAGATTCAATTAGTAAAACATTTCTGTGGAATTTACACATTTTTTTTCACATAATGTTTTTATTCAGTACAGATTCATTAAACTGATCAAAAGTGACAGTAAAGACAAAAAATAAAAAACAAAAATGCTGCACAGCTATGAAAATTAAGCTTTGCCATCACAGGAACAAAATTAATTTTAAAATATATTAAAACTAAAAGACGATTATTTTAAGTAGTAATAATATTTCACAATACTATTGTTTTTACTGTATTTTTAATCAAATAAATGCATATTAACAAATTATCATTAATATTGATTTTAACTGATCATGGCTCATTCAATCATAACTAGAGTTGGAACTTTCTGTACAACTTATAATACTGTAAAAAAGCAGGATTTTGTTTGATATTTTGAAATTACTATGCAGACAAACTCAAATGCACAAAGCTCCCTCACCATTGCACAATCTGTGATTAATAAACTAAAATACAAAATAAAGCCTTCACACACAGTACTATTTCACTAAATGCATCATATTAAGTTAAATAAAATGCATTATATGACAGAGAGTAACATAAAGGTCTCTTTCCATCCCAATCCACAATAATGAAACTTAACGTTGTGTTGCCCTCTACTGGACGATCTCTGATAGAGCTTTTCTTTCACGCCAGAACATAACCATGTGACCAAAATATATGGATACCTCAAATGAACTATTCCAGTAATTTTAGTAAAAACAAATCTAAATGCTACACCATATAATGATATTTTAAAGAATTCGATGTTTTGGTTCTTTGCTGTACTTTTTGCCATAAAGTGTAGACATTCAGACAGACAGATACATACAGTATGGACAGCATTTGTCTTATATTGTTACTGTCAGTAATTCAGGGCTGTAAGATGGCTTATAGAACAGTTAGGTCATATTTTTAGCAGCATCCTGTGAACTCACCTGATTTGTGGGCTGATCGTAGACATGTGAGCGAGGCATTGAGCCGAGCACATTCTTCTTCACTCGCTCCAAACTTCTGCAGCGCCTCACACACCTGCTCATCCGACATCTCCAACAGAGTCTCCAGAGTCAGCTCACCTGGAGAGATCTCCTACAATAAAGAGTAAAGTCTGAGAGATGTGCAAGCTGACTGAAAAACCATTTGAGAAATCACTTGGATGTCATTCACATGTGCCCCAAGAGATTTTAGAGCCAAGTGGATTTTGAATACAACTTCCAAAAAAGTATTTTTAAAATAGTACACTACTGTTCAATAGTTCACGTCAGCAATAAGATTTTTTTTTTTAAGAAAGTAATACTTTTATTCAGCAAGAATGCATTAAAATTATCAAAAGTGACAGTTAAGACACAATGTGAAAAAAGATTTCTATTTCAACTTTCAACTTTTTATTATTCATCACAACTGTTGTCAACATTTATAAGAGTAAATGTTTCCAAAGGATCATGTGACACTGAGGACTGGAGTAATGGCTGCTACATTTTAAAATATATTAAGCTAAAAACGTAATATTTACGTTTTTATTTTTTTTTTACTTAATGGTTTTTTCATTGTAATAATATTTCACAATATTACTGTTTATTTTATTATTTTATAATACATTTTATTTTATTTATTAGTGTTTTGGTCACATATGCATAATTTTTTTCACATACTTGTTTCTCAAAACACATATATAAGTTGGGATCAAAATGACAAGTAATTACCATAGTTGCCATTTTATTTGTTATTATGGGAAATTCTGAGTGAAATTGTACAAAAAAAAAAATGATTTGCATTAATGGAAAGAAAAAAATGCTCAAGTTAAAAATGACCAATAAATTATTCATTTAAAAAATATATGATGTTAAACAAAATTATCTTTTGATTCAAGTAAAACGTAAAACAGTACTATTTTTATATAGTGTAAGTATGACTTGATCTGAACAAAGAAATCACTTGAAATAGTACCTCTTTTTAAATAAATTTAATTAATTGACAGGATTTATAAAGCTAATATATAGAATATAGGAAAATGTTCGTTTAAAACTTGAAACAGACTGACGACAAAAGACATGAGACTTAACTTGGACTCATAAATATGTCAGCAACACATACAATTACTAATGCTGTTATCCACAATAAATTACAATAAACATATAGTATAACAGGGACTTATTCAAGCAATAAACTTATTACAGCAAATGCTTTGCTCAATGGTGACAGATTCAAAACTACAACCTTCAATTACCATGCAAGATGCCAAACAACTACATTAAAATTCAAAACGTAAGCACTCAGCTTCTTTAAAATATGTGTGATGTTATATATAACATCTATATAACATATTTTTCATTTGTAATTCTAAAACATACAAGTTTAGTACAGTCCCTGTCCACTTTTTTCATCAGTCTTCGTTCAGGAAGTACTTTCCCATTAATTTTTCCAAAATGTCTTTATTTGAGAGTTCTAAACCATGAACTAAACCAGCAGGCTATGAGGTGAATCACAATATTACAAACTTTGATTTGTAACACAAAGTATTTGAAAATCAGACAAAAAGGCAAAGGTACAAGACTTAGCGGCTCTAATGAAGAAAAGAACTACAATTCCATGAAGCACTGCAAATGACAAATTAAATACAAAGGATAAATATAAAAATATTGGTTTAAAAATGATAATTGTATATAGAGAGACAAACGAGTTGAAATAATGTGGGCTGATGGCTTCAGCAAAAGCATATAACATTGGTTAATTCCTCTATGGCCAAAATTAATAAGGTTTTTATTTCAGGAGCCTGAGTGTTGTGCTCTATATAGCTGCAATTCCTTCTCCACATCAGCAGGGGGCTTCAGCACATTGGACAGCGCCAACACTTCAGCACCGAGGACAGCGACACAGGAGGAAAAACCTCAAGGCCTTCAGAGAATCTGCTGTTCTAGACCGTATGTTTACAACCTTTTATGCCATCAGACGGGAAATATTTCGAGATGCACTGCATGGGGAGGCTCAGAAGCAGCTACTTCCCACAAAACATCCTGATCCTACATTAGGATGCTCTCACTAGCCAACTGTCAACCAGTCACACATTTACATATAATTGCACATCTCTCCACACTCTCACTTAAATCTGGATTTCACATCACTATGTTCACTTTACTGTACAACTTTTAGATATTCATATATTGTATTTATTTTCTTTCTTCTGTTTTCTGCCTTTATTTTCTTTGCATAGACATAGCTTGTAAAACATTTCACTGCCATCCTATCTGAGCATGTATAGGACTATATTCTGAAACATGTGAAATTTGTCAGCTTTCTTACTGTTCCTGTTTTCTGATCATTTCCTTTCACCAATTTCAGCTTGAAATCAAGCACTGACGATGAAACAATATGGCGTAATTAAATCAAAACTTAGTTTCATGTAGGGTTAGGGTTAGTAAAAATATTATAAATATAATATCTTAAATGGAGTTGTTTTTAGAAATAAAGCGGAGTGAAATTGTCAGTATTTAAGACAAGATTTAGTGACATTTTCTTATTTAATATTTTCACTCATAGTAACTCACTTTTCTTTTCTCTGCTAGACTATTTTGATTTGATTTGCAAATATTGCTTATGTCAGAGATTATTGCTCTTACAGTATATAAAATCATCACTTTAAATCATACATTACTGTGCACTTCCAAAAATGTTAGAGACCAACTGGCTTTATTTACTTGCCATATTTAGATGCATTTGGAGCTTATTCATTTTGGACCTTGATAACAGATAATATAGAAATTAAAGTTGATGATTGACTGGATGAACCAAAAACTTTTATTGTCCAAAGACATGATCTGAGACCAGCGTTATTTTAGCATCACTGACATACAATTATAATTTTTGATATTTTAAGTTTTTTTAATATTTTATTTCCGTTAATATTTATTTTTATTTCAAGTACTGTGTAGTATTAGATTTTGTTTTTATATTTTCTGTTTTCATTTTAATTTGACAGTTTTTGTAATTTTGTTTTTAGGTTTTAGTTTTCAAGTTTTATTTTAGTTATTTTAGTACTTTGATTATAAACAAAAATTAGAAATGTTGCCTAAGCAAACAGCTGAAAACGTTTTTAATATTTTATGCTTTTAATATTTTATTTTGGTTAATGTTTATTTTTTTAATGGTTTTAGTTTTAGTTTTAGTTTTAGTTAACGATAACCCTGTTTGAGACAAAAATGAAATTCTACAGATTTCATTACTAATGTCAATCACAGGGCTAATTAAATAAAACAAATGAAACAAATACTAACCCTAACCTACACCCTAACTTTAGTAGAGCATTGGTAGCACATCTTGATAGACAGCATTACTGTCTGTCACAATCAAATCCATACATGATATTTCTGAATCCATGAAGTCTGAACTTTTCTTGACAGGTGACTGTGTGATGGAGTCGACCAATGAAATCATCTGTGGGGCGGGGTTTGTGTATGACTGGTTTAGGACACAACATACAGGACTGCACATACCTCAATAACCTCCTTCCTCATGTTAACAATGCGGAACCAGTGTCCCAGCTGCGGGAATCCATCCAACTCCACATTCTGCTCCTGTAAGGACACTTTATGCTTGTAAGAGAGCTGCCGACTAAAATACTTGACCAGTTTACCCTGACAAAAAAAGAAAGAAAGAACTTTATATAGCACTCATTCAACAATATGACATTTTAACATTTTTAATATGTAAATATAAGTTGAACAATTTTCATCAGTCACATATGCAGATCTGTAAGCAAACTCTAAATGCAATGCTTGGCATTTTTATCTGTCCTTCATGTCATTCAATATTTCATGATCTCTTTGAACTGTTTCTCAGCATTTTGGAAAAACATGAATATTCTAAACTGGACAAGTTTCCCAAGACAGTGATGTCACTGCAGCCTTTGTGCAGGGACATAAAGAGGAATATGAATGCAACATTTAAAGCTTCACCACATTTTAAAAACAATTACAGAAAAACGGCAAGTAACACAGTAAATTAAACATGAAATTTTAAAGTAGAAAAGCTGAAACAGTATTTTTTTTACAGTGTATAGCATTTCCAAATCTTTGTCTCTCATGTACTCTATTTATGGTTTTAAAGACTTTAATATTTAACTATTCACACAACTTTTTGGGTGGAAAAAGCATAAATGCACTAAATGATTCTTACATCAACTAAATATATTTTTTGGTGTTTTCTGTCATAATATACTACTTTTTTTTAAGATGAAGCAAAAAGCAGCAGGTGAGTTATATTAATGCATTTTTAGCTCAAATAAGTCTATACTGGAAAAAAGGTTTTGTGGTTCAGCTCCATTCCCAGCATGCACCGTGGCATAAATAATTAATATAGTTGCATTGTTTGACCATATACCAGTTTTATTTACACAGTTGTTGGGGGCTTTGTTGTCACATTTAGAAATGTTACACATTTTAAGCTATTTCACGAGTAGTTATGTGATGAATATTCATGTACTGTAAATATGGAGTATTCATTTCTTCAAGAAAAAATGAGATCAAGCACATCATTTGCAAAAATCACATGCAATAAAAACTTGTTCTTAATTATTCTGCATTAACTTAAAACATTACATTTACTTACTGTGTAAATTGAGTAACTGAACTTAAAAAGCCATACAAATGGTTTCCCTGAGACACTTTTTTAACAACAAAAGGCACAACATGGATTTGTTGCATCCTTATGGATTGTCCACAAGTGAGCTTGCGTTATACAGTACATGAGGAATATCACACACTGGATGCCATCAAGATAAATGTTGACCTTTCAAGCTAACGAGTAAATAATAATCGGCTGTTTGATCATTTCAGCCTTATCAGTTTATTGAATACTGTCCATCTACATCTGTAGTCTGTTCAGTTTCATTTGTGTTGAGTTGATCTCCCATGGCAACACTGTTTGCTGAATGTTACTGTATGAAAACAACACACATTGTCTGTGGGTCCCAGCTGAAATAATCAAGGATTAAAGCCTAGAGATGTTTCTTCTAATGAACATTTTCACTCAAAGTTCTCAATTCACTTCTTGAACTAAATACAAGTCATACCAAATCCATGACACTCTCTCTTGTTATTTTAGAACGGCTGCAGGTATATTTCGAACAGAACAGATTAATTCTTTAACCCAATAAATCCCAAACTTTTTGTCAGCTGAACCCTTTTGGCCTACTATTAACAAGTAATTTCTTAAATATTGCAATAATTTAACAACACATTTGGCATTTTAACAGTTAATTGTCACATGACATGTCGAATAAAATAATTTATTTGCCTTTTTATTGAATCAATCATTTTAATTTTACGTTTTTATGATTCAAAAAGGCCATTTTTATGACTATTTATTTATTTATTTGAGACATCTGACCATTATGGAAGCCTTGAAATGAAAAAAATATAATTGCAGCATTTTATCTCATAGTTCAGATTTATTTTACACGCAAAAAAATGTCAGAAAGAAAAAAGTCAGAATTGTGACATCGAAACATAGAACTGCGAGATATAAACTTCCTATTCTAAGGGGGAAAAAATCAGAATTACGAGATAAAACTCAGAATTCTGACTTTTTTTCTCACAATTCATGAGTGTACATCTTGCAATTCTATTTTTTCTCTGAATTCTGAGTCTGCATCTTGCAACTCTGTGTTTTTTTCCACCACAGAATAAAACATTAAAAAGGTAACTGTGACTTTTATCTTACACTTGTGACTTTATTAGAACTGTGACATAAAAGTTGCAGCTTCCTTTGTTTTTTTATTCCGTGGCTGTTATGGGTCCACTATAGTAGATTCTATGTTGTTTCTAATCTCATTTAAGCCAATGGCAATTTGTAAGCAAAGGATATGCTTGTTATGAATATTATGAATTTACAAAACAACATAAATTGTAATCCTTGATTAGAAAATACTACATATTCTATCAGTACCTGATGTATTTGAAGTGCACGGTTTGTCTAGACCACAGAAAATGCCCTGTTGTATTTTAATATACTTTAAACCTTGAATGAGTTTTTATTATTTTTGGTAAAAGCTCATATATTTAAAGAGGGATCCCTGTATTGCTGGTACCAAATGCCGTTACGCTTTGAGCATCACTGCTGCCTGTAAATTGAGAATGGTAATGCACATCCATCACCAGATAAACAAGCAAGAACCCCCTGATAATATCTAATGTTTGTAATTATTATTCCATCAACATGAACAAACAAAGTGCTTCATTGTGACATACTGACACTAGTGACGGCTGCAATCGACAGCCAATGGAAAATGGGTTTCCCCACATCAAGAGAACAGAGTGCAAAAATACTAGAGAGCTTCTGAAAAGCAGTCAAAAATGGTTAACACTGTGCCAAAATGCATGCAACAACACATAATCAGGATCAAAAGTATCATCTTACACAAAAACACAGATATAATCACAAAATAAAGTAATACTATATCATAACGACCCGAACATAAATAACTGACTAAGCTAAAATGTAAGATATTGACAAGATGGTGGGGTTAAGAAATAGGTGTCATACAGCCTACACATCAAGCCCATAAGCAGAAATACTTTTTTCTTGCATCTGCACAGACCCAGTCTAATGTAAAACAACATCTGAAGCCTAAACATGCTGCAAACACAGAGCAAAAGAAGTCAACCAACTGACTGCTGGGAGGAAATTTGTGCCAAATCAGGCAGGACTGCAGTTGGATAAGTCTAAAAATCCCCACCCATTTAAACAGGTGAGACCAGGTCTACATGGGACGTTTTCACAAGGGCTATATCTCAGTAAGGTTTGCAGTTACAAGTCCAATTGCACAAGTGTGTTTTGCAGCAAAAAGGTAGACTAACAGAAAAATGATCAGACTATTGTTTTGGCTTCTTTTGAGAGATAGGCCTACTGTAATTAACGAATTGTTCAAGATAACAACATTTAAAACACCATTTCTGAACTAGGTTTTTAAAACCAACTAATTGTTTTACGGTGTACATTTTACTGAAAAGCCAATAAAATAGAGAGTAACCGGTAGTGTTGTTTTTGGCGGCCTGTTTTAATTTTAGTTTTAGTCTAGTCTTTGTGTGAAGCTGTCTAATAACGCGACTAAACGAGACGAAATAACGTTATATCATTTTGTTTCGTCTCGTTTTGGTCAACGAAAATGAAGAGACATTTTAGCATAGTTTTTATTTTGTAAACCACATTTAGTCTCGTTTTTATTCGTCAACAATATTGCATTATACATTTAATTATAGTCATCGTCACATGACCAGCATTTACGTTGCGTCTCGTCTCGTTTTCGTCACGTGATAAAGGTTCGTTGACGACGATATTTAGTCATAATTTTCGTTGACGAAAGCAACACTAGTAACCGGTAGTCAGATTCCTGAATGAATGACTCTTGTGAGTCGGTTCTTTTCAGTAAATCAAAAACATACAGCGCGAGTAAAAGTAATTTGATTCCTGAGCAAATTACTCATATGAATCGGTTCTTTTTAGTGATTTAAATAAATATAGTGGGATCAGCGTAGTCCATCAAACGAATGACTTTTATGAGACAATTATTTTTAGTAAAAGAAACACTTTTGAATAGCTAAACAGTTTCTGAATGAATCTGACTCACTTGAACAGCGAGTGAGTACTTTCGTAAAACAGGTAAAACTTATCTGTTTTGTTGTAAGGCTCATGAGACATAAATCAGCTGCCTACTAACACATCATTCATGTCAATATAAATATTAAGAGTTATGTTTTATTTTTTATTTATTTAATTACTTTTTTCAATCAGTTATTTTATTATTATTTTATTTCACTTATGCTTATGCACTTATGCACATAGAGTTTTTTATAGAATTTCGATGCTGAAATCTATTCTGTTTCAAGCTGAAATGATCTCATCATTTGGCAACAAGCTGTTCAAGACAGAAAGCATCATGAGCTGCTAAATGAAAGAAAAGTAGCTCGAATCGAATCCCTAATGAAACCTGAATCGTTTAGAATAATCGGAAAATGAATCGAATCCCATCCCCAAGTTTGAGACACATTAGCCTACATAAAGGGGAAAAACAGTAAAAGACGTTAAAACAGAATGCGTTTCCCGTTCTCACACAAGTCTAATTTTTAAAAAGCATCACATCGGCCACCCTGATCTAGCTATAGGGTCTTTGAAAAAAAACATATTTGGGCGACCACTACAGTAGGCTACTACAAAAACTGCCATCATATCGAAAGAAAATATCTGGGACAGTACCTCTGGTTACATAACACAATTTAAAACGATCTCAAGTTTATATTGTACGAACGACCGTTTTAATGACGAGGATAATTAAAAAACGAGGATATCAATTAATGTCAACAATAGGCCCCTTTCGGTGTCCATGTTAGCAGCGCGAACGCACGAGCCACCTTCTTCACCACCTGCAGAATGCGCACTGCAGCGCCAGCTTCTTCATTTATTACGCCAATATAGTCAATCCCCGAGACGCAACTTGAACTGGAAACACGTTCAAAGATGCTAAATTGTTTAATGTGCATGCACGCACCCACAAGCATCCACTCTCGTGACATTTGTAGAAATGCTGGGGTGCAACATTCACATTTGGGCTCAGGCAAATGGATGCTCGCTTACCTCCAGCGTTCGGATTTCTTTTTGTGTCAAGTCGTTGGATGTGGCACATTTGGTCCTCAGACCTTCCAAGCTGGAGATACTAATGTCTATCATGTTTTGCACCAGTTCGCACTGCTGCAAGGCTTTTTGCAAACTCAGATGATGCTCGTCGCTTTTGGTCATATTCTCCTCGTCCATAATTTGCGAGCAGTGGTCCGTCTCTTAAGTGCAGGCTACTTTTTTCGCTCAATCAGATTAGACAACACTTGGATAGTGCGTTCGTGAAAGCACTAATAATGGTGTGTGTGTGATCGTGAAAAACTAGACTCTACGTGTAAGGCGATTCCATTGTTGATATCCTGATTTCCTGACGGTGTTGTCATCAGGGTTGCACAGTTTATGTTTGATGCTCCGGCTTGACTCTACCATAATACACAGATATTGATGGAAGGAAGGAAAAAATACAAATCAGATCCTCGCTGCGGTGGCATCAGCTAGATCCATTGCGCGCGTGTGAAATGCAACACAAATTCAGACATCTTTGTTATAGATGATAAAGGAGAACGTTAGGTGTTATTTCTTAACGATAACGTCTGATTTGACTGCACGTATTCCCCTTCTGGACCATCATCAGCTGCATCCCGGCGCTCCCCCATCACACCGACATGTTCGCGTCAATCAAATTCACAGCAACAGCATCAGCATCAGCATCAGCATCGCCGACACAAGCAGGGAGAGAGTTCTCGCGAGATAAGCATCAACGCAGTGAGCTCACTGTTTGAACTCAGAGAACCTTTTTAATCAAATTGTTGAACTGCCTGTCAAATGGAAGTTGCCCCACTGCATTTCCAAGTGCAGCCAATATTTTAAAATTGAAAATCAAAATTAAAATCAACTTCACCTATCAAATGTTAGAATTTACAGCAATATAAACTGCAGGTCAGGAGCATCCATTTAAAATGATAATAATAATAGCCTAATAATATGACTGAATCACCAAGATGGTCTAAGATGGTTTGCTTGTTTTATTTGGTTTGCACTGGTCTAACAGCCACAGACCAATCTTAGTAGACCAGCAAATCAGCTCAGGCTGGTTGAAGAAGTTTTTTTTTTTTTGTATATATATATATATAGTGGTGGTCAAAATTATTAGAACACTAGCATTTTCACCAGCTTAAATTTTTTTTTTATGTCAGTTATTTCTTATCTTTTGCTGTAGTGTGTCAGTAGGAAATATCAGTTTACATTTCCAAACATTCGTTTTGCCATTAATTGTAATAATCCAGTGAGATTTTTGTTTGCACAAGGAGTCTAACAGCAGCCAGTGCTCCACACAGAAATCTCATCATCATCAGTCTGTCTGGAATGACATAATAATGTCATAAATAGATTTTCTTTATCAATTAACTTCTATTAACTAAATTAAATCAACATCTGGTGAGACCATCCTTTGCGTTTATAGCAGCTTTTGCAGCATTTTTTTTTTACAGCGGTGGAGGTCCATGGGATTTTGAAAGCAAAGGAAGGAACTGCTGCTTTGGATATGACTCAGAGTAATAATAAATAGTTGTATAATGTCTTACTACTACATTGGAATGCCAGGAACTTAATAGCAAATGGGCAAGAATTTAAAAAACATATCACAGAAATGGAAAAGGTACCAGACATCATGTGTATTCAGGAGACATGGTTAAATATCTCCTTGGATTTTAAGATCAGTGGATATGTAGTAGAGAGGAAAGATAGAGAAACTGGAAGAGGTGGAGGGTGTGCAACATTTATTAAAGAAGGCATAGCATATAAGAGAATATACAAAAGTAATAATGTAGAATGTGTAAGTATAGAAGTAATGGGAATACGTGAAGAAATTAGAATTAAAATTTTTTATAACCCATGCAAATAAATTTTAGAAGAAGTGATGGGTGATACACAGGGTAAAATTATTACATGTGGGGATTTTAATGCACATAATGGTTTAAGGGGTAGTAAAAGTACAGACAATAATGGGATAGTTATAGAAGAGCACTCGCTTGTATGTTTGAATGATGGGAAACCAACAAGAATGGATATAATAAAAGGTGGCATGTCATGTTTAGATCTCACAATAACATCAGCTGCCTTAGCCGGTAAGTGTACTTGGAGTGTACATGAAGATCATTTGGGCAGTGATCATTGGCCTGCAGTATGTGAGATTCAGAATGCAATTCGAAAGCAAAACTTTATTCAGTGTGCAAGATGGGGATTTAAGCAGGCAAAATGGAAGCAATTGTCTGTGTTGTGTGAAGAAAATTTCAAAGATATGAAGTTGGAAGGGAATATTGAGGAGAAATATAGGTGAAATCGTTTCTGCAGCAAACCAATCTACACCGTTAATAAGAGGTGATGGAAAAAAAAAGAAAAGTGTACCGTGGTGGTCTGAAGAGTGCACAGTGGCAATTAGAGAGAGGAATAAGGCATTCCGGATTTTAAAAAGGTTAATAACTCAGGATACAGTTGTAGAATATCAGAAGAAAAGGGCAGCTGCAAGAAGGGTAATTAAAAGTGCAAAGAGAAAGGCTTGGCAGGAATTCTGTAACACAATTGGAAGAGAGACTGGAATGCATGTGGTATGGAGAATGATTAGGAAAATGAGTGGTATTGACAATTATAAACAGATCCCTGTAACTGAAGAGGAAGGGAAAATGGCCATAACGAATAAAGAAAAGACAGAAGTCTTAGGTAAAACTTTTGCTAAAATTCATAGTATTGAAAACTCTTAAAAAGAGTTCTTAAAAAGAAGACAAGAACTAAGTAAAATATATGAGAATGTTTGTAGGAAAAAAACAAGGAGTTGATAATAATATGAGGATTTAAATTCTTTTGAGTTAAAAATAGCCATTAACAATTCAAAGAATACAATGCCAGGGAGAGACATGATCAGTTACAGTATGTTAAAAAATTTACCAGACGTAGCCATTAAAGCATTATTGGATTTATATACTCATATATGAAATGAAGGCAGCTTGCCCAAAGATTGGAAAAGTGCAATAGTGATACCAGTAGTGAAACCAGGTAAAGATGCAACAAAATCCAATAGTTGTAGGCCAATTGCTCTTACATCTACACTATGCAAGGTAATGGAGAAAATGATAGTAAGAAGGTTGAATTATTTTTTGGAGAAAAAATAAATATTATCATCAGCTCAGAGTGGTTTTAGGAAGAAAAGATCTACAATGGATGCTCTGATATTATTTGAAAATGATGTTTAAAAAGCTCTAATAATGAAAAAAATGATTGTTGCCGTTTTCTTTGACATTGAAAAGGCATATGACACTTTATGGAGGGAGGGACTGTTAAAGGGGTCATAGGATGCTAAATGCACTTTTACAAGTTGTTTGAACTGAAATGTGTGTTGGCAGTGTGTGTACACAACCACCCTATAATGATAAAAATCCACCCGGTGACATCTGAGCCGCTGAAGACGCAGTGGATTGCATTGTTTCTGAAGGGAATGTGACCCCGATCTACCTAAAGGAGTTTATGTTCGCGCGAATCATTCACGATCCAGCTTCTCCTACAGAAGAAGTGAGTATAATGTTTTGTAATGAATCTTTGCAAATCGCCTTTCCTAATAATGTGCTAATTAGCAAGTTTCACGATGAATGCGGCTAAAGTAAACAGTCCCTCAGAGAGCGGCTCGAAGAGAGGGGCGGGGTCAGCACAGCTCATTAACATTTAAAGGGAAATGCTACAAAAACGGCTTGCTCTGAAAAAGCTGTTTTTGACAGGGTAAAAAAGGTGTTTTTTACACTACCATTGAGAAATTTTAACCAAACTATGTTACAGACTTTTCATTAAGACCCTAAAGAATCATATCAACTTGTGGAAAATGGGCATTCTATGACCCCTTTAATTAATTTAAATACATTTGGAATGGGGGGAGAATGTATAATTGGATATTAGATTTTTTTTGTTTGAGCGTACATTCCAGGTAAGAATAGGTGAAGAAATGTCAGCATCGTATGATATCCTGAATGGGACTCCACAAGGAAGTGTAATCAGTCCAATTTTATTTCATTTGATGATTAATGATATATTTGAAAGAGTTAAACCAAGCATTGGAAAGGCATTATATGCAGATGATGGTGCAGTATGAAAAAGAGGTAGGAATTTAGTAAATGTAGTTAAAGGAATACAAGAATCAATAAATGAACTTGAAAGGTGGTCAGTAGATTGGGGATTGAAGTTTTCGGTATCAAAGACTCAATATATGGTTTTTACAAAGAAAAGGAAAATGGAACAAATGACACTGAAATGATATGACCAATTATTAGAAAGAGTGACAGAGTTCAAATATCTTGGTTTAATCTTTGATTAGAAATGAACTTGGAAGAGACATATTAAGAAATTTGAAAACAAATGCAAAGGAGTAATAAATTGCATGACTTCAATAGCTAAGTATGAATGGGGATTACGTGTATATCAAGACTTAATACGTTTTAGTATAGATTGTGGGTGTACAGTGTAAAAAAGAACAGTTTTATGGAAGTCACAGAAAGGAAGATTAAGGATCTTGTGACTGATCTTGCCTGTGGCTCTGTGGTTGAGCATTGCGTTAGCATCGCAAAAGGTTGTGGGTTTGATTCCCAGAGAACACACATACTGGTAAAAAAATAAATAAAAATATGTAGCCTGAATGCACTGTAAGTCGCTTTGGACAAAAGCGTCTGCTAAATGCGTAAATTATTATATATATATATATATATATAGATTCATCACCCATGTGCGCAAGATATACAGTAGGTGGCGGTAATACTCCTAAGGAGTGAACGGCCATTGAACAAAAAGAAGGAGAAGAAGAAAACGCGAAACTATAGTCTTTATAAAATAGGTAAGCATGAATCGGGAAAGTGTGACAAATGTGGAGAATTAGAAACAGTGAAACATATTATTGTTGAGTGTTCTGCATATGAAAGGGAGAGATTTCAATTAATTCAAGAATTAGGATGGCTGGGAGTTGATAATATTTCTTTAAAAGTATTGTTAGGAAATGGGTCGAGGCAATCAAGAGTGCATATTTCTTTCTTCCAAATTATTCACACTCCACACTCCAGACCAGTAGGTGGCGGTAATGCACCTCTTCCGCTGGTTTGCCAAACCGCCATAAAACACCAGAAGAAGAAAAAGAAGAAGAAAACGCGCCAAAGCACATCGCGGGGCTGATTGAACAAAATACAAGAGGATGGCATCAGCAAGTAAAGCACAACCTCAGACGAGAAATTTACCATGGTAATGTCTTTTGCGTTTAGTAGTACACATTTCCATCTTGTGTTCTTAGCTAATGCTTAAAAGGTGTTTATTTCACATGAGACATTCTTTAGCCGACATGTGCAGCACTGCACAAGTTTGCTTTGTTTACATCTGGATTGCGCTTATTCTGCACTTATGGCCATATTGATTTATGGATATTAAATCACTATGGGCTGTAGTTGAGCTCGTCATTTAGTATGTATGAAATATATACGGTAACACTTTACTTGAAGGGGTGTGCATAAGACTGACATGACACCTTCATAATCATGACATGACACATGTCATGAATATGAAGGTTTTATGCATGTTTATGACAACTGTCATTAAGTGGCATTCGCTCAGTTATGTCATTTTGAATGCAAATATGACATTATTTGACCTAACCCTACCCCTAACCATAGCCCATAACAAAGACATCTC